CCCCGCCAGTCCCGCGAGCGCCCGCGCGCGCCCCGCGAGCTCCGCCGCCAGCATCGCCCCTCCCGTCCCCTCCCCTGTGACGTCACAGCCAGCGCGCCGCTCAACGACCACCCCGCACCCGCCGCCATCTTGGTTACGGGCAGCCGCGCCATCTTTCTTGAGGGCGGCGGGGCGGTGTCGGGGGCGGTGTCGCGACTGGGGCGGGGCCGGCTCTGGGATAAAGGCTTAGAAGTCCGCTGGTCGTGCTGTGGATGGGGCGTGGGTTTCGGGGCCGCGGGACAGAGGGGTGAAGGCTGGCGCGGTCCCTGTGGAGGGTCCTCGGGCCCGGCCCGGCCCGCGCAGCGGAGGGTCCCCGAGGGCCTCACAGGAGCAGTGAGTGCCCAGGACTGGGCCTCCTGGTTTGTGTGTTCTGTCCCCGCTGCCGTGGCGGCCCTTGGGGTACGGCTGGATGGGGGGACACATCACCCCTCGCCTTCCCCAGCCCCCCTCCAGCCCTGGGTGGCTCCTGGCCCTGCCCAGCGGGGCAGAGCTTCCTTCCAGGACACTGTGACTCCCCCAGCCCAGCAGCACATCCCTAGGCTGCACTTACTGCTCTTCTCCTCTCCACAGCTGGCAGAAAGGGATGGAATTCTCCTCCCGTGGCCAGCGGGAGGGAGCCATCTCCCGCTATTCAAAAGCCATCGACCTGGGTCTGTGGTGGGTAAAAGGTCCCCAGAAGGCTCAGGATTCACCAGGCTGGGAGCTGGAGAAGGTGGGCAGCACCATTAAGGCTGGCTCTCACATGGGCATCGGGCTTCAGGATGCTGTTAACCTCTGACCCGAGGTTCTCCCTTGGGTTCCCCCTTGCTCTTGATCCAGGTCCTCAGCTGTGCCTGCCTGGACCACTTCAGCAGCAGGGAGACATACCAGGAGCTGGGATTTACTGCTGGTGGATTGTCTCCCTTTCCTTATGGCCTGTCCTGGGGGCATGGCTGGGAACAGCTGCTCTTTTCCTGCCTGGCAGAGCTCAGAGCTTTTGGCTAATGATGCTGAAATCTTTGTGGCTGGGGTGGGCTGGACATGTGCCTTGCGTGTTTCCAATTGGCATGGAGAGCTCCAGACAATGCCTGGGGGTGGCAGCCAGCCCCCAGCTGCTTTCATTTAACCGAGGTGCTGCTGCTGCAGAATCTCCCTTTGCCCAGGGGAGCTGCCAGCAGGTCACCAGCAGGATGGAGCTGAGCCAGGGTGTCCTGTGCACAGCCAGCTTGCAGTGGCACTGCATGAACAGGGGCAGCAGGACCTGGGAGGAGGTGAGCAGGTGGGCTGGCACAGCCAGGACTCACAGCCAGGTTGGGAGTGGGATCATTCCTGTCCCTTCACTGGCAGGACCAGTGAGGCAGAAAGGTGTCCACAGGTGGTCTCTGTGCCTGAGGAGGGTGGAGAGCACAAAGGGAGGATGCTGCTGCTACTGCTGTTCCTCCTCCCAGGGAAAGGCTGCTCTCTTTTTCCCAGTTATTAAACTGGAAACCATCAGCTCCATGCCACTACATCCCTTAAGTCCCATCACATCAGGCAGCTGTTCCCGTGCAACTGCACATCTTCCAGGTCCTTCCACACCAGCTGCAATTGGGAATTCAAGCAAAAGACCCCAACCATTTATCTCATAAAAGATTTATTTTAAAATTAGAAATGCATAATATTTTTGGAAGAGGCAGAACATTTGGGTCCACCTGTGGGCCAGCTCCTAGGCAGCCTTTGGGTGGTGTCTAAAATCCCCAGAGCTCTGGGACTGGAGCTGGAATGGTCCCAACTGCTGGCAGCTTGTTTCTGCATGGGGCCTGAGCAGAGCATCTGGGAATTGTGCCTGCACCCATCCCTTGAGCAGGCTGTTCCTAGAGAGTGAATGATTCTGGTTCCTCTGACCTGTGAGGAAGTGATGCACAGAGGAGATCAAAACCTGGGCGAAGGCCAGGCTGTGTTCTTGGCTGTTTGGAGCAGTAATCTCTGACTTGTCCCCAGGCCCCCTATTGTGACACTCCCCAGAGGGTGAAAGGGTGTTGGCCCAGCCAAAGCCTGCCAAGGTCTAACCAGCAGAAGGACATACAGGAGGCTCCACAGCTCATAGCACCAAGTCTGCTAGAGAAATCATCACTAAAAGGAATTTTCAGAACTGTTAGTGGCACCGTGGGCTCCCCTGGAGGTAGCATGAAATTTTTTGTGGGTGGTAAAACAAGCAAGAGGTCTTTTGTTGTTTTCCTGGTTTACTGCAGGGTAATCCTTTGGTCCTGAGGGGAAAAATGGATGAGGGGATAGTAGGGGAGCCTGGCTCTTGGGAGATCAGGTGTTGCCATCTTCCATATCACCCCCCTCAGTTGGTGGTGAAGCTGGTCCCTAACAGCACCTATTCACAGTGAAAGGAAGCTGGAAAAAACTTGCCTCTAAAACTTCCTTGAAAAGAAAACTTTGTTGAAGGTGTTCACAGGAGCCAGCACCAGCACTGTCACATTGTACCAAGGAGCTGAGGCACAGCCATGATTAAAAAGCTTTTAAAAAAAATGTTAATATGCTGTAAGAAATAAGTATTCTTCTGTGGGCTCAGAATCTTGATGTGCTGGGTATCAACAGCTGCCAGGAGAGGGGAGAGAGCTGTGGGTGGGTGCTGCTGACAGGCTGAGAAACCTCCCTGATGCTGCAGCCCCTCTCAGCATCTTCCCCGTGTTGTCACACATGCCTCGGGTGGTCCATCCATTCCATCCTCACCTGGCCGAGAGTGAATCGGTAAAGTGCTTTAAATCACATAATTTGCACTTGGTCCCACAGCCACTGAAGAGAGTTCAGCAGGAGAGCACTTGTGGTGCCAGGAGGGACATGCTGCTCCCAGTGTTCATCCCGCCAGCCCTGAGCGCTTTCCAGTTCCATACACATCCCCTATGGATCTGAGCGAGGCCCTCAACAGTGACTACAAGAAAAAACTGATCCGAGAGGCCACTGTTTTGCAGCCTGTTGATGAGAATAATTTCTCCTCTTCTGGGAAGTAGGGGATGCTGTTGGCCACCTCCTGGACAACGCCCGGACGTACTTCGAGGCCTTGCTGGATGAGTTCACTGACCACACACTGCTTCACATGGTGGTGCTTCAGGGGGAGGAAAGGCACAACAAAATCAATGAGATGTTCATTAATGATCCCAGATTTCCAGAATCCACCTGCAAAAGGGAAAGGAAGAGACAGGTTTTACCTTCAGAGTCTTTGCAGTCCCTGCAATTCAAAGAGCTGCTTTGTGTAAAGTCAAAATATTCTGCTGAAGAGAGATCTGCTCTGGTTTTGTACAAGGAGAGGGCTGAACCCATCAGCTGTCATCCCCTTTAGCCCAAAAAAGACTTGTTCTCCAGGAATGAGGGGATTTAGCTTGTCTAGTCAGAATTTAAGCTCTGTTCCCTGTGACAAGGGCAAAGCAAGGAGAACCAGGCAGGCAATGGAGATTGATACATCTCAGTGCCATTACACAGGGAGCGTGCTGTGCTGTCTGCCAGCCCCCAGCTGCAAACACACCTTCCAAAGAACTTTGCTAAGCATGGCAACAGGTCTGCTGGCTCAGAAGGCCAGGCTATTCCTTCCCTTTGCCAAGAAACCTCGAGGGGATCGCAGTTCCCTTCCCTGAAAACCCTGCCATCCCTTCCTGGCTGCCAGGGAGGTGACAGGCAGTCACCTTCCTGTGGGAAGGGCTCAGCTCCATGGACTCACTCTGAGGGTTTTCAAACACGGCCTTGGAGATGGCTGGCTCCAGGTCCTGCAGGCTGATCTCCTCCCGGTCCTTGCGGTCGCGCCACAGCGCCAGCGTCACCTCGTTGATCTGCTCCCCTCCTGCGTTGCTGTACAACAATAAGACACTTACTCAGTGTGTACCTGGGAAAACGGTGTTTCAGGACAACCTGACACTTGCAGAGTGCAAGCCAGGATCTCCCAGCATGGCCCAAAATGACTCCTGTAGAGGCAGTGAAATAACAGGGGTAGGAGGGCTTTATCACACTCTCCAGGTCTGTCTGTTCACGATGAAATAGAATCTCTTGGCATTTTTAGAGGCTCAAGGCTTGGAGAAGGAAAAGCAAACCAAGTGTGTGCCCTGGAGTAGATGTGACCTCTGCCCAGTGCTGGAAGGCCCCCCCTCACCTGATGAAGATGAAGATGGCTTTGCGGTAGTTGGTCCCGTACACAACCCACGAGGGGCCCAGGAATGGTATGATCACATCGATCAGCCCTGGGTGCATTTTGTCCATCTCATCAAAGAGGAAGGCTGAGCGTCCACAGTTTGTCAGGTTTCCTTGGATCCAGCGCTTCAGGCTTTCCTAGGAAAAGCACGTGCCAAGCTGTAAGGCAGTGAGATAACGAGGGAGGCTCGAGCTACCCCAGAGCAAAGGCTGAGGCCGGAGCTCACACGAAGCTGAAGGTGCTGGAAGCAGCATGTCCTTGCACAGCACCACCCACTCGGAGCAGGAACAGCCAGTGCTGGGGAGGCCCCTTTATTCTGGCTTTCACCCAGTGGCTGTTACAGCTTTATTATCCCATTGTAGGTCTTTTATTACAGATTTAAAGAAGGAGGCAGCACACTAAAGCAGGGCGTTCAGACTCCTACATCTCCCCACGTTCTTCTCTTTCACTGTGTATCTACACAGTTCCCAGCTTCTTGCCAGCTCCTGTCCTGGTGCAGAAACATGTGCCTGTGCTGACCCAGAACAACTCTGGCTCTTTAGTAGGGCTGAAGGTACTTCCCAACCTACACAAAACCACTCCCATCCCCTGGGGACATGTGTAACTCCTCACTGAAACATGTCAGCCAGGATGGGATTTACCTTCCCAACAGCATTTCCTCTAAGGACACAATGCTACAAATAGCTTCTCCAAACACCCAGAAAGCAAAGGTCCAGGTGCACCGATTCCCTGCACTGCTGAGGGTTTGGCATTTTGGTTTCTTCCTTTCCTCAGCTTTAAGAGACAGAGTGGCACCACGAAGAGCCTGGGGCTGCCGTTCAGGAGCTGTGTGCTCTGTGAGAAGGGGATTACAAGTCTAGTGAGACAGCAGGTTTTCACAGCCATCAGGCTGTTTGGAAAGCAAAGGGAGAATTTTAGTGCCTTTCATCTAAGCAAAGCACTTTTGTTTGTGCGTACAAAGGGCTGTGTAAATATTTAAGGAATGAGAACATGATCAGGGCAAGGACTGCTGTAGGGAAGACGAGAGTGATAGCTCAGTGCCAGACTATAACCCAGTTACTAGCTGATCCTTCAGCCAGTGTGTGGAGCCACTCACTCAGCTGTGTTTGAGAGGGTAAAACAAAGAGCTTTTATTCCTACTGCACTTCAGGAAACAGCTTGAATGCATATGTACTGAGGATCAAGATGGACATAACTGAAAACCCCCAGTCAAGCAGCACTGCTGAGAGATGTCTCTTACCTTGTACTGCTCTATCTGCTCGGCGTGGGGGAAGTGCACGATGGGGGAGAAGTGGTGAACGTAGGGGCTCTGGAGCCCACCCTGGAAGAGGTAGCGGATGACCATGGAGCTCACGTAGGTTTTTCCTGTCCCAGTCGAGCCATGGAAGGACATCACCAGGGGTTTCACCGGATTCTGGTTCTCCAGGAACCCCCTCACCCCTTTCATCACCTCCTGCCTCACCAGGGGCTGTCCCACCAGGCTGGTGGCCAAGTCGAACTCCAGACCTGAAAGGAAGTGAAGCCAAGACTTAGAGAAGGCGGGGTGACATCGCTCCGGTCTCACCCTGTGGACCCGTCCCGTCCCTGGGGGCTCCCCACGCGCCCTGGCAGGCCGAGAGACCCCGCTCCAGGGACGGCCCCGGGAAGGATCCCCTGGAGCTGCCGGGAGCCCCTTTCCAGCCGCCCCCCGACCCTCCCCTCTCGCCCAGACCACTCTCCCGGGCCGCCGCCCCCACTGACCGCGCAGGTCGGGCCTGAAGCCGCACTCGCAGTCCGCCGAGAAGCCGCAGCGCAGCGCCCACAGGTCCCAGGGGGCGGCGGGCCGGGCGGCGGCCGCCAGCAGCGCCAGCAGCACCGGGACCGGGGCCGCTCCGGGGGCCATGGCGGCCGCGCCTCCGTACCCGCACGAACTACAGCTCCCGGCGTGCCCCGCTCGGGGGCGGGGCCTGAAGGGACGGAGCCATTGGAAGGCGGTGCTAAGGGAAGGAGGCGTGGTTATGTGTAATGGGGCGTGGCCTGGCTCGCAGTGCCCCGCCCCCCGCCCTGAGCAGAGTCGCTGTACCTCCCCTTGTTTTGGGGACCCGAGACCCCCTGGCAGAGAAGAACTTTCTGAAATTCAACAGGGGCAAATGCAGGGTCCTGCACGTGGGGAGAAACAAACCTGAGTGCTAGTACAGGTTGGGGGCTGACCTGCTGGAAATTAGCTCTGCAGAAAAGGCCCTGGTGGTCCTGGTGGACAACTGGCTGTCCATGAGCCAGCACTGTGTCCTTGTGGCCAAGAAGGCCAATGGAATCCTGGGGTGCATTAGGAAGAGCATTGCCAGCAGGTCAAGGAGATGATCCTGCTCCTCTATTCAGTCCTAGAGGCTGTATCTGGAGTGCTGTGTTCAGTTCTGGGCTCCTCAGGACAAGAGAGACATGGAGCTCCTGCAACAGGTCCAGTAGAGGGGAAATGAGGATAACTGAGGGACTGGAGCAGGGAGGTTAAACTCGATGACCCACTGTGGTCCCTGCCAACCTGTCCCGTTCTGTGATTCTGTGACACCTGATGGGCTGTCTGCGGCCAGGTAGGGCTGGATTCAGCAGGGTGGTCCCCCCAGACAGCCCTTCCTGGGCTCTGCTCCCCCAGGGGGTTCGTCTAAAGGACACCCACAGGACAGGGAACTCCCTTGAGGAACAGCATAAAAGTTTATTATATGTAAGAAACAAACCCATGAGATATGTACACATATTTACAGGACAAAATGAATGAGCCTAATTATTTACAACATTCTTCATCCTTCACAAGTCTGTACATCGAGAAGTGATTGTGAAAATGTATTTACATGCGTGATCCAGCAGCCGTGGGTGAGACAGAGGGGGAAAAGAAATGGAACTGAAGGGTGAGGTGAGGGGCATTGTGTAGTCATGGACCTCAGCAGGGCTGGGTGGTGGAGACCAGTGCTGGCGTGCCCAGATGTTGTCCCCATCCTTCAGGGTAGCAATGTGGACCTCCTGCCCTGTTGTGTCCTGAGGAGGTGAGTGACAGATTCGAGGTGGCTGCTTTTCCTCCTCTTTGTCTCAGAATTGCTGCCCTGTGCCCCAGCACCTTTCTGGGCCATCTCTCCTCCTCCAAGTGCTGGGTCCCTGGTCCCATCCCATGCCCCACAGCTGCCAGAGGGGTGCAGGCTGGGAGCTGGGGGGTCTCCCAGGGCCTGGGGGGGGTCACAGCTCGCTGAAGCGCACTGCTGGCTCCAGCTTGTGGGACAGGGCAGTGAGGACCTTGTCAAACTTCTCGTAGCGCTCGGCCTGGCTGCTCTCAGCCCCTCGGCTGCCCCAGAGCAGCCGCAGCTGGAACTCGGTGCTGAAGATCTCCAGCAGCTCCGCTCTGCCCTGGAAACCTGCAGGGAGGGAGAGTCAGTTCCCCAGGATGGGATAGGGACCCCGTGCCCATGGGATGCTCCATCCTGGAGCTGCACACTGGGACTGTGGCAGAGGGAAAGGGGCTCTGCTGTCCCCACTGCTTACCCTGCAGCTTCACCTCAGCATTGGTGTGGTAGAGCCCACCGTGGTGGGCCACCATCCGTGCCGCCTCCAGGTGGGCCATGACCACCTCCACGCCGTTGTCAGTGGCCTCCCAGGGCTCGAGGCTGTCTGTGAGAGCCTTGTCCCGCTCCAGGAGAGTCACGAGGGGTATGATGTGGGGAAAGGTGGTGTTGGTCAGCGGCGGCCCTTCTGGGGAGAGAGGCACCCTTAGGACCCTGTGCGGCCCCGTGACCCTGCATCCCCCTCCCCATCTCCCTGTGGAGCACTCGTGTGGCCACACAGCCCTGCGGAGCCAGGCTGCCACTGCACTCCCAGGGGAGGCTTTAAGGCTCAGCTGGAGCACAGCAGCTGCTGTGCCTCTTCGATCTGTGCCCGGGGGCCATTGCCTCGTTGACACCAGCTCCTCCCAGTCAGGCTTTCTGGCTGTGCTGGGAAGGGAACGCTGCTGCCCCTGCTTTTCCCAGGGCTGCAGTGGGGAGCAGGTTTGCAGACCCAGAGCACTGGGCATTGGAGGGACATGGCTTTCATCTTCCCTGGCTGGCCACCCTGTCCCTGGGTTTGGCACTCACTGCCAGGCGAGTGCGAGGGTTTGGCTTGGCTGGTTTTATTTAGTTATGAAACACTTCCTTGGGCAGGAAGAGGCAAACAAGGCCAAATGGGCCCTGCTGGGTGCTGGGGCGGTTCAGCAGCCAGAGGGGAAGTGTCTGGCACTGTCTGGGACAGGGTCAGAGCTCTCAAACAGTGAGACTGTGCCCAGACAGAGTGGGAAGGAGCAGGCAAGCGAGAGAAGGGGAGTTGCTCCCATTACCTTTCCCTTCATTCAGGCTCTTCAGGAATGGCTTAAGCTTCTTCTCATAGAGGATTGCACCCTCCGTGTGCCGCTGCCGCAGCACCATCCAGGTCTGCTCCAGCCGGGCAATCTGAAAGGAGATGGGGCAGATGGAGGGTGCTGGGGGCAGTGCAGCCCCTGAGCACCAAGCTCCGGGCTCGCAGGGTGCTTCCCAGGAGCGCAGCCTGGCCCTGGAGCCATGGTCCCCAGCCTTGCACACAACAGTGCCTGCTGCTCCCCAAAACAGCCTCCTCCACCAGCACTCACTGCCAAAGATGGCACATCCCTGGCACAGAGGCTGGGTTCAGGATTTCTCTCCCCTCCCTGTGCCCCAGGACAGCAGCTTCCCCGCGTCGCAGCGGCCTTGAAGATGAGATGCAGGGAGGGGGCAGCCGTTCCACCTCCTTTGTGCAGGCAGGAAGCAAGACTTCCCAGCTGGGCTCGATTTAAAATTGAATTTTAATCTCCTTTCATCTTCCAAAGGGAGCAGTGTGGCCCGGAGACGCGGCTGCCACAGCCTTGAGACTGATTTGTATTGTACCGAAGGGCAGATTCATTTCCTCCCAGGAACACAGCCCAGCACAAAACAAAAAGCCCAACTACCGAAAAACAATCGTATCCTGGTGGGACTGGGCTGTCTGCTCCACGGAGAGGATGGCTCTTCCCCTTCCCTGCTTACATCCCAGCGGATGCAGCCCCATGCCTACTACTCTGGGCATTTTCACCCCTTCTCCCACCCCAATGGCTGTTGGATCCTGCAGGACAATAGGGGGGAGGTGTATACTCTTTGGGTGAAGGGGCTGAGCCCAGGCCATAGGGAGTAAAAGAGTGTGTTCTCATACCTGTGTCATTTCCAGGGCGTTCATCACAGCAGCAAAACTGAACATGTTGCCCATGGTGCTCTTCAGCTCGGCAGCCAGCTGGATGGTTTTGTGGAGCAGGGCCGCCCGCTCCTCCGTGCTGCCCGTGCAGCCCAGGATGTCCACGGCGATCATGATGGACATGGTGTGAAACCTGCCGTGGGGTGAGACAGAGAGCAGGGTCAGTGCAGGGTGGCTGGGGATGCCCCACCTCCACCCTCACCCCTGTGCCCGGCTGGGGACACTCCGGGGAGGGGGCTGGGCCATGCCCATCCAGTGGGATGGGGCAGCACAGTGGGCTCGTCCCCGCCGTGGCCGTACCGTTCCAGCAGGTCGAGGCGGAGCTGGTGGCCGTGGGGCAGGGTGAGCAGCTCCATGCCAGAGCTCACCCCCATGAGCCGCTGCATCTCCACCGTCACACCCAATATCCGGGCGACCTGGCAAGGAAGGTGAGAGCTGATTAGACCTTTGTTAATTGGGGAGAGGCTGAAGCATCCTCAGGCAGCCTCTCACCCCAGTCCAGCCTCTGCCTGCTCTGGCTGGTACAGAATGGCAGAGCCCAGCAGCGATGCTCCAATGCTTAGGGATGCTCTGATCCCTGCCAGCTCGGAGTGATCAGAGGGCAGCAGTGCCCACCCCTCCCGCCTGACCCTGGTCGTACCAGGCAGTCCACTTTGGTGATGTGTTTGGCCAGTGTCTTCACATCCACCTCTGCCAGCAGCTCTTTGACCTTCTTGAGCACGGTCATTTCCAGGGGTTTGTTCTCCAGGGGGATGAGCAGGGACTGGAAGGCAGCAGGGTTGAAGGAGGAAGTCGTTTCCATGGTGGGGGGCACAAAGCCCATGAAGTCCGGCTCTGCTTTCAGCCTCTGCCCTGCCTCTGCTTCCCCAGAACTGTTCTCCACAGTCCCTCTCTGTCCTTCCTCCACCTTTAGCCTCTCCACGTAGCTCTTTGTTGGCATCTGCTTGGTGTCATGAGCTGGCCGGTCTCTGCTGATGGGTGAGGTGGGGTGCAGTTGGCAGTAGTGCCCTGAGTCCGGGTCGCTGTAGCTGTTCACGGAGGGAGAGGGGGAGGCGCGGGCATACCCATGGCAGGGAGTTGAATGGGAGCTGTGGGCAGGGTCTGGCAGAGGTTTGTTGTTGTTCCCATGGCACAGTTGGGGCTCGCTGGACCTTCTTATGACTGGAGAGGTGGGGGCGATCCCAGCTGCTTGGCAGGCATGAGGCTTTAGCCGTGTAACTGTGTAGGGAGCAGAGGAGATACTTAGAGAGCCTGAAGATGGGCACACACGTAAGGACCGTGGGTGCAGCAGCCCAGGGATGAGGAGCTCAGGGGAAAAAAGCCTTGCTGCCCAAACGGACTCAGCTGGTCCCAGGGCATGATGATGTGGCTGAGGACTGGCTGAGGTCCTGTCCTCAGCTCCAGCCTTCCATGGGGACACCTCTTTTTGCCATGCCAGACAGTTTCACTAGCAGAGAATGACACAGGGGCTTGTTTTTATAGCCAGCTCCATCCCTAATATCCAGGTCCCTGCATCACACCCAGCCTGACCCACGTCCCCACTGTCCCCAGTGGGGTGGAGGGGCGATGCCTACCTGTGCTGTAGGCGGGAGACGCTGGGTTCTCGGAGATGGGGGACATCGGAGAGTGCAGGTCTTGGATCTGGTCCACACTGACAGCACAGTTGCGAATGATGTCTCTGTGGTGGGGCAGGGACACACTGGGGAGGGGGGAGATAGGGAAGGTTAGTTCCTGCAAGCAGGACCTGGGTACATGCAGAGGGGTTGGGATGAGGGTTTGCTGCCCCATCATCTCCTTCCATGACTACCCATAATGAGATGAAACCCTAACAAGCTCAGCTGGAGCAATGAGCTGGCAGTTCCTGCAGCAGTTGGGAGCAGAAGGGGTCAGCACCCACATAAAGCAGAGACAGCCCTCCATGCAGGGAGCTTGGTCCTATGCAGCAGAGCAGAGCAGAGCAGAGGAGGAGGAGGGGAGAAGGATGCAACAGCACACCATGTGAAGGTATCTGGGATGAGATGAATTCAGTTCACTCTGCTCCAGGGTGCTATGGGCAAATGGCTCTGGCAAAGAAGTCATGGGGGGTAGTTTTCTAGGGTTGTGCTGCAAGCTGGTGTCTAATGCTGGGTGTGTCACTCTATTTCTACCTGTCAGGATAATTAGGTGAACTATTGCTCTGACCCTTAGAAGAGCTGGAAAGTGCCTGAAAACTACCGTCAGGGAATTGCATAACAAACGAGTCTTGGGCTGGTGGGGCAGCAGTGATGGCCTGATGCAAACACTGTGTGTCAATGGTGCTGCAAAGGATGCTGTATCTGGGAGTGCTGAGCACAGGGAGGGTTGGAAGGAGATACGGCAGGTAGTTCACTGCCCTGCCTGCCGTGGATGAGGGCTGGGCTGCTGTGATGTGTTTGGTCTTGAGCACTGGGCCTCTGCAGAGGGAGGATGATGGGACAGCAGTGGCGGTGATAAGGGGTTTGGGGAAAATGTGAGTGATGAGGAAAGACTGATGGATCTGGGCTCTTCTGGAAACACATATGCTCTCCTGGAAGTCTGAGTGTTTTCCTTTTCCCAGCCATAACAGTTGGTTGCCTGTTTTCTGCTGGCGCATTCTCACCCTGCCCTTGGGCTGAGAAGGTCGGGGTGGTGAGAAAGCAGCTTGGCTTTAACAACAGGCTGTGTCCTGCTGGGGAGGCAGGAGGAGAGGGATCTCCCTTTGGCTGGTGTGTGGCCCTGCCTTCCCTGCAGGGCTCTGGGCATCCCAGGACTGCCAAAAGCAAGCCATACAGAAGAATTCTCCTTCTCCACCTCTGGAGAAGCCCAGCTGTCCCTCGGTTAATGTGAGCAGCTCAGCCTTGTGGAGCATTGGCCTCCTCCTGCCCATCAGGCTTTCAGCTTTGCTTGGT